TATATAGCCTAACTTGACTCATTGAAAGTTTTATATATATATATATAACCTAACTTGACTCATTGAAAGTGCTGGGGTCTGGCCAGATAGTAGTGTCTGCCTAAAATGTACAAGGCCTAGGTTTGGTACCTAGCACTGTCACAAAGCAAAACTCACAGCAGACTCACGGAGCTAAGGCTGTGTGACTTGGAAAAGTTCATCAAATGTCTTGGAATGAGAGCTGCTCTGACTCAGAGTCGTTCTCAGCCACTGTCGCGTGGCATAGGTACATAGTACGTGTACTACGTAGCTCACGGACAGATCCAGCCCACAGACTTACTGTTAGATTAGTGTGTTTAAATATTTGTTATTGTTGTTTCCTGTCTTCTGTCAAGGTAGCAGTTGGTTAGAGCTGGACAGCAGGTGACATGTCACACAGTTCTCGACCAGTGAAGCCTCACTTTTGGGTCACTTTCCTGCCTAGGCTTTCTGAACCTCCTGTTTTTCCTCTAACATATTTTCTTTCTTTTAAAATATTTATCCACCATGTGGGTGCTGGGAATTGAACTCAGATCTTCTGGAAGAACCCAATGCTCTTAACCACTGAGCCATCTCCCCAGTCCCAATATATTTTCTTATGTGTTAGAATTGGATTGGCATTATTAGGGTGACATTTGTGAGGCTTGGATTGGTTTTTATATTTAAATATTTAATTGATGTAAAATTTATTTAGGTTTTTTGTTGTTGTTTTGAGACAAGACCTCATCATATAGCCCCTGCTGGTCTGGAACTCTCTCTGTAGACCTAGCTGGCCTCAGACTCACTGCTTTTACCTCTCAAGGCTAAAGGTGTGCACCACCAGGCTTGGTAATTGGGGCAAAATTCAAGTAGGCAATTTATAGCTTGGTTTTTGGCCTTCTTTCTGTTGTTTCTGTTTTGCGAGACAGGATTTCTCTGTTTAGCAGCCCTAGCTGTCCTGAACTCACTTTGTAGACCAGGCTGACCTTGAACTCACAGAGATCTGCCTCCCTAGTTTTGGGATTAAAGGAGTGTACTAGCATGCCTAGAGAGTTTTCTTTTTTTCAAACTTGGTTTTTTAAATTTTTGTTTATTTATTTTGGTTTTTCGAGACAGGGTTTCTCTGTGTAGCAGCCCTGGCTGTCCTGGAACTCACTTTGTAGGCCAGACTGGCTCAGAGATCTTCCTGCCTCTGCCTTTAGAGTGCTGGGGTTAAAAGTGTGCACCACCACCGCCTGGCGGTTTTTTTGATTTGTTTTGTTTTGTTTTTGTTTTTGTTTTTCGAGACAGGGTTTCTCTGTGTAGCAGCCCTGGCTGTCCTGGAACTCACTTTGTAGGCCAGACTGGCTCAGAGATCTTCCTGCCTCTGCCTTTAGAGTGCTGGGGTTAAAAGTGTGCACCACCACCGCCTGGCGGTTTTTTTGATTTGTTTTGTTTTGTTTTTGTTTTTGTTTTTCGAGACAGGGTTTCTCTGTAGCTCTGGTGCCTGTCCCGGAACTAGCTCTTATAGACCAGGCTGGTCTTGAACTCCCAGAGATCCGCCTGCCTCTGCCTCCCGAGTGCTGGGATTAAAGGCGTGCGCCTGGCTGTTTGTTTTTTGAGACAAGGTTTCTCTGTATACCCCTGGCTGTCCTGAAACTCGCTCTGTAGGCCAGGCTGGCCTCGAATTCACAAGGATCCACCTACCTCTGCCTCCCTAAAGCTGGGGTTAAAGATGTGCACCTCCATGCCTGTCTGAAGAATTTCTCAGAACAGAAATAAAGCCAGATGAGCGATGGAACCAGTAATTCTTACAGCATTGGTGTTAGCAATTAGTGGTGAAATTGCTGTAGCAAAGTCCACTTGTTACAACTGACCATTAAAAGGGGTGTAACGTTGATGTCACCTCACTTTCTCCATGCTTGTGTGGCGTCCTTTGCCCTTAGGCTTGGAGACTGACTGTACCTTCATGAATTTTTGATTTAGGAAACAAAGGGGAAATTTTTAATTGTCAGATTAATTATATATAACTATGGTAATGAAGATGCTAATTTTTCAGCATATGGGGAAGTGAAAAGCTAGACTTGTAAAAGAGGCCACAACTCGCCTTCCATAAATGAGGTCCTGTGTGGCATCCTGTGTGCTTTAGATTCAGTTGCTAAGGAGCAGCTTTCGCTGGCAGTTGGTAACAATGCTGCGGAAATAGGTTAAACCTCTTTTACTAGTTTATGCTTGATGAATGAAGTAGATACAGATGGCCAGAGTGGGATTTTAGGTTGGTTGCCTGAGGGTTATTTTTGTTTTAAATTTTTATTCCAGTCCAGACCAGTACATTGGCAAAAATGAAGTGTGTGTGTGTGGGGGGGGAGATGTAGAAAATGCAATCCCACAGGTGTTGTTAGTAGAGTCAGCAGACATAAAATTATTTCTGTAATTGTAATCATTATATTGTTATGAAAGTTTCTGAAGACTTTCAGTTTGGGGACTTTTTTGACTGAAAGCAGTTTGAGTTTTCATCTGCTGATACAGTGTGAATCCATAGTTGGCAAACAATGATTTTAGAGCTCAGTGTGACTAACTCCCGATCTCGGAGGAGACTCTAAGTCACTTGATGTCATCAGAACAGGCCTGTAATCCCAGAACTCAGAGACTAAGGTATGAAGATCACAAGTTTGAGGCCCAGCCTCTGCTGCATAGTGAGTTTGTAGCAAGCCTGAGCTACTTAGAAACACCATATTTCAAAACCAAAACAAGAAAGAAAAGCACACCAATTGGTTATTCAATACCATATGGTCAGCCTGAAGACATACATACAAGCGAGATTATACGAATTGAGCAGGTTATATTCAGGAATGTATATATCTACAATACACACACATACATATATATAGATATGCAATAACAGCTAATGAATATAGACATGAATTTGAAGAGAACAAAGAAGAGTATATGGAAGGATTTGGAGGGAAGAAAGGGAAAGAAGAAATGTATTTATAATCTCAAAAACAACAAGCTGGGTGGTGGTGGTGGACACCTTTAATCCCAGTACTTGGGAGGCAGAGGCAGGTGGATCTCATTGAGTTTGAGGCCAGCCTGGTCTATAGAGTGAGTTCCAGGACAGCCAGGACTGTTACACAGAGAAACCCTGTTTCGAAAAACCAAAGCAAAACAACAACAAAAATCCAAATCAGTGTCATTGCTTGAGGCAGCAGTTTAGCACTCAGATCTCATCTGTGCCAGTCTTACAGACTGTTGTAAGGATGAAATGGAATACATAACCTAGGCCTAGAACATGGGAAGGACATTTGAAATGTGGGGGAGGGTTTTCAGTACTACTTATAAAGCCTTTTAAAGTCTTCATATGATTTATAATTTTTGGGGGGATGCAGTGAACTTTATTTTTGATGGTATTCAAGAAAGTAAGGTTCCCTAATCTCACCTTCTTGGGATCTGGGAATGGAATATTGAGGGGATATGCTCAATGTTGGGAATTAAATAGGGAATTAAGTTGGGAATTAAGTAGGGACAGGGATTCCTCAGCCTCTGATGTGGATGTTCTTGCTGGGGTGTGTGGTCCAGAGCTGCTCACTCCTTGGAGACCATTAGGTCCACTGCCCTGTTCCCGTAGCCATATACATTGTCATCCTGGGAAATGAACTTTATAAAGTTGTCATTGAGAGCAATGCCAGTCCAACATCAGGGCCGGAAGGGTTGGTGTATAGGTTAAAGTCGCAGGAGACATCCTGGTCCTTAGTGTAGCTCAGGATGTCCTTCAATGGGCCCTCCGATGCCTGCTTTACTACCTTCTTGATGTTGTCATACTTGGAAACTTTCTCCAGGCAGCATGTCAGATTGACAGTGGACATATTGGGTACAGGAACACAGAAGACAATGCCTAAACTTCTCGTTCAGCTCTGACAAGTGGATACAAGGGTTATGTTCTGGGCAGTTCCACTGCCATAGCTTCCCAGGGAGTCTTCTGGGTGTCAGCGATGTCATGAACTGTGGTTGTGAATCCCTCCACAATGATAAAGTTGATGTGAATGACCTTGGCCAAGGGGCTGAGTAGTTGGTGCTGCAGGAGGCACTGCTGACAACCTTTCTTGAGTAAGTTGTCATGCATCTCATGGCTCACACCCATCACTAACATGGCGGCATCAGCAGAAGGGACAGAAATGATGACACTTTTGGCTCCCTGCTTCAAGTGGGCCCTACCCTTCTCCCTGGTGGTGAAGACTCTGGTAGACTCCACAGCATGCTCAGTACCAGCATCACCCCATTTGATGTTGGTGGGAATCTCCCTCCCAGAAGATGGAGATTGTCTTCCCTTTGTGGCAAGTTTCCTGTCTCAGCTTTGATTGTGCTATGGAACTTATTGTGGGTGGAGTCTTACTAGAACATGTAGTCCATGTAGTTGAAGTCCATGAAGGGGTCATTAATGGCAACAGTATCTACTTTGCCAGAGGTGAAGGCAGCCCTGGTAACCAG